CGTGGACATCCTGGGACGAGTAAAGACTGACCAGATAAGATCTAGAGGATAGATAGGGGACTTGGGTCGGGCAGTTGGCATGAGTCAGACGAGGCCTTAAGAAACATTCCGACGAGCGTGTCCAACCCGTGCGAAAATCCGGAGGTGTCGAGCGACTCGAGTTTTGACCGAAAGTGCGCGAAGTCAACAAGTTTGACTACCACCGGTTCCGCCCTGGCACTATGGACAGTCGACAGCCGAGAGGACGAGTAGGCCAACAGCAAGGAGGAGCAGTAGAAGGAGAAGGGCAGGCTGGGCAGAAGTTGTTGCATGACTCGGAGAGGTGGCAGAAAAGCTCCAGCCAGGACCGCATGTCTGTTAACGTTGGGACCCAGGAAGACTCGGACTCCTGTGAATTATGGCGGTATGGAGAAATTAACACTCAATGGCAGATAATGCACCAAACTATGGGGGCCGAAGTAAATGCAAAAATATTTAAGCTGCATAATGATCTCAGTCCGGCACACGAGTTGAACAGGTGGTTTCGACCTACTGACTCCCAACCAAGGTCGCTGCAGCTGCCATAAGGCCCATGGAAGCCTCCGTGGGAGTTAGATTCGAAACTCAGAAGTACTTGAGCGCAACGACATCCATACTAATCCCCTCAGCTAACTCATTCACGAGTCTACCGCATCATAAATGACGTTCCTCCGTTGCGGTAGACTAGAGTGTGGATAAGTCGGTTGGCACAGCAGGCCGAAGGACCAGGTCTGTTCTCTACCTGTTAAACTGGCCACCTCGATTTCATCGCCGACCGTGCCGTCGCCAACAAACTTGCCTTTGTGCAGACTAAGTATGCGTTCGAGCCGTCTCGGTCGGCAGGTAAAAGGAGGTAGTTGATATGTCTTCCTAGCCGACCGTACAGTCTGTCGCTTGAGACGCGGGGCTGGAAAACGGCTTCGACTGCAGGCCCCATAGGTCCAGTGTTTCCAGACAATGGGTGTGTCCTGGGTACGGGGCCTTATCTAAAATGCATACCGAAGTCTTCGTGTACTCTAAAACTCGTCTTCTGATTTATCCTCCCCCCGAACTCCGTGGGTTTCGACAAAGTTGGCCTGACCAGCTCTATGATCGACTCACCTGTATGTACTCCGTTTTACCAAGAAGTCGATCGGAAGCTCTCTGCCAGCTTAAGATTCTCGTCGTTTACCTTGGTCTGGACAGGTATCTTAGATCACAGACCCGGAAATATCACCTTGTTGAGGGGAGCCTACTTTTTTATGTCCATTGGCATTGCACGCTGCAGCTCTGCAAAACAGACCGTCAGGACCACGACCGGGAGGTTGTCTGTCGGCATGTCGTGGAGTCTGGTCTACCAGTGGTTTACGAAAGAACCTTCTGTCCTTCACGTGGGATTTGAACACTTCTCATGTAGTTATAGGTGACCTGACCTGAACGATGGCATGCCACCGTACAGCATGAAAGACTGTAGGGAGTGCCGGGGGAAGGTCGAAATCCATGAGAAGAACGAAACGATAAGGGGTCCGGCACGTCGCAATACAGGCAGTGACGATTGAGGCGAACGACTGCAAACATTCGTCTGAGCAGTTTTCACCGACAACGACAGTAACACTGGAATGGCCATTTATGACTTATTTGTCGTCAGAACCAGGTCTGGATGACCTGGGGTTCGTGCTAGGCTTCTCTGATCATTGAGTGTTGTTCTGTCCGTTGCGACCGGAATGATTAACGGATTCGGATGGAGGCCTGAGGTGTACAGTCCGCAATTGGGGCAGCACTAACTGATGACCCACAGCCTTGGGATCCCGAAATCCGGCAACGGTAAGGTCACACGTACACCGTAACAACGCAAGGGTCAGGCGTACCAAGTACACGTAAAAAACCCGGAAGACGCGCAAGTGCAATATTCAGGGGCACTGGCAACCGACACACAAGTAAAGTTTTAGCCTGACCCCCCTGCAAGGCGGTTGTGTCGACCAGACATGTCAGTGTCGGGATTTGGGACGTTCCTCAGCGTTCGACGACCATATCTCAGTGAGACGGGTTCCGCGTTTCAAGTGCAGAAGGAGTTCTAGTATGCGAAGCCTACTTAGTTCTCTCAGAGGGGACTGGCCTGTGTTTCTTCCGCCAGACGCACTGACAGAGGTTTGGACTTATCGGCGCCACAAACACCGTAGCACCAGTAGAGATTGGGGAAGTTTACGGAAGTCCGTGGGCCTAGGACAAGTTTGGTTCCACAATCGCCAACTCAAACTTTTGACGGACGTCCAGATCGTAAGACATCGATTCGCGCTTGCCGTCCATGTCGTCAGGGGACATTGCGACATATTCAGAAGACGAAGATGTGATCACTGGAACAAAAAAATTTATTCGTCTGACGTTTCGGATTCTCACTCGAATCCATCATTAGAGACAGTCGCAGGTAAGGGTAATGGTGGCACAAGGAGTGCAGTATTTATAGCACGTGGCTGCCGTGGGACCATATGCGCGCTGTAATTAACAGCTCTCGCAATCACCGCTGGGGTCGTAATTGATGCGATGATGACTTGTCAGTCGGCGTTCGAGTCGTTAATGGCCGTGATTTTGTCATCCGTGCTGGTTGCTGGTGTGACGATTGCTCGGCGAATTGGCTTAGTGTCACTGGGATAATTGCTCGCCCGCGCCCTCCGCACGTGACTGATTCCCCTGCCCAGGGAAAATCGCAGTACGCTATAGGGTACCGGGAGGTCATTGTGCTTGTTGATGGATTACGGGCCTGAGAACCATGAATCGAGCAGCTCGCGGCTCACGCGGTTGTCACCTCTTGCGAGGATTTCGGCCTCTTGAAACTTGAAAATGTGGCCAGGTCCCGTCGAATGAGCCGCCACCTGAGAGCTAGCGTCGCCCCGCCTCATTGCTGCTGAGTGCTCGGCAATTCGCGTACGGTGTAATCTCCCAGTTTCTCCGACCTACTTGTTTTGTCCGCGACTGCACCAGATCCGGTAAACGACGCCAGACGTTTCCTGCCGTGGCAGTGGGTCTTTCGGCCTCATGACTTGACGCCTAATAGTTGCTTTCGGCCTGTGTACAACCCCAACTCCAAGTGGAGTGAGTGGAGTGGAGTGATTCCCTGGGCAAGGTAATCAGTCACGTTCGGAGGGCGCGGGCGAGCAAGTATCCCAGTGACACTGAGCCAATTTGTAGAGCAGTCGTCGCACCAGCATCCATCACGGATGACGAAATCACGGCCATTTACGACTCGGACGCAGACTGACAGGCAATCATCGCACCAATTCCGACCCCGGCGGTGATTGCAAAAACTGTTAATTGCAGTGCGCGGCAGCAACGTGCTATAAATACTACACTTCTGGTGCCACCATCACCTTTATCTGCGACTGTCTCTGATGATAAATTCGAGTAAGAATTCGAAACGTCGGGCTAATAAATTTCTTACCCCAGTGATCGCTTCTCCGTCTTCTGAATATGTCGCTGACGACATGGACGACAAGCGCGAATCGATGTCTTACGATCTGGACGTCCGTCAAAATTTCGGGTTGGCGAGTGTGGAACCAAACTTGTCCTAGGCCCACGGACTTCCTCAATGACCTCCCGATACCATATTCCGTGCTAAGATTTTCCCTGGCAGGGGAATCAGTCACGTGGGAAGGGCGCGGACGAGCAATTATCCCAGTGACAGTGAGCCTACTTGCCGAGCAATCATCACACCAGCATCCACCACGGATGACGAAATCACGGCAATTAACGACTCGGCCAATAAATTTCTTGTTCCAGTGATCACATCTTCGTCTTCTCAACTGCTACCTGGAACTCGCCTGTTCGCTTCTATCAGCATTGCAACATATTGCAGAGGGGCCGTTTTTCTCCGCATCCGGTCTGCATTGCTACCTGCTGGTTCGCGACTACGATGCCCGGGTGGCATGTCAAGGGAACAGGGGGAGGCGTTCGTTGGGAGGTTTATTTACGGTCTGACGTCTCGGATAGTTATGCCGGATGCCCATCTTCAATTACTTCGAAGAAACCGGTCGAAGCTGGCAGACGCATTAGCATCAAATGGCCATGCAACGATTTGACCCAAAGTCGGGTCTGTGCTGTGCAGGCAGGACACATCTTCTATTATGACGCCTTTGAGACTGCAACCCGAGACGACGATCACATGCCAACCAAGATTAGTGCAAGGAGCCTGGATATCCACCGACTGTTGACTTAACCGCCAGACAAACCTCCCTCTCCTCTATATGATTTTATGGACTTAATTGACAGGAGATAATGAGGGCGTGAAATAATCGGGACCGCTAATTATCACCGAGGCCAACGAGGACGGGGATGACATGGGTCATAGTGAAACTGGGGGGTCCGATTCATTCCACCTCTCCCCCACCCCCCACAATTAGCATCAGGAAAAATGAGCTGTGCACAGGAATCGCCAGTCTCCGCAGATGAACAGCCAAAACCGCTACTCCAAACACCAGACCGAAAATAAACCTCTCCCCGTGAACTCGTCTTTTTCTTTTGAAGCAATGTTTTCCCGGAATAAATTTGAACAAGGCAAAGGCGACAAGGCATGCAGTATTTACTGACGCCATAAATTTCGAGACCTCTCATTCAGCTGCGTACGGTCATTGCATAGTTATATGACACGCCACATCAAACTGTATTTATGAGCTTACATGTAGTTGCGGATGCAAGTACATTGAGCGTACGCAAAGGCAGTTGGCAGCTCGGTCAGCTGAACACATGCCGAAGTGGCTGCTAAAGGCGGAAAATAAGGTACCCAGGAGCTCAATCACAAAGCACCTAGTGGATACGGGCCATACGGTGGACCCAATGGTTGCATCCAAGGTCCTGTTTCGGGCGACGACCAAGCGTATCTTGCGCTTTGCAGAGGCCGCTGCAATGCGGAGGAGGAAACCAGAACACTGTAAGCAGTTGGACCACATGATAAACCTGGCACTACCATGGTAAGGATGGATTGTGGACGAAACCCTGTTCTCATGTACGCCCTCTCATTTCGCCCCCCCCCCCTCCCCGCACGTTGCACTCTAAAGCACGCCGGACAAGTTCTCACTGTAGTCCTAACTCTCATACTTGGATGACTTCTCTCCCCCTCCCCCCCTCGCCATATGCACCCGCATACTAGACCCATGTTTCAGATTACCTATCACGTTTTATCTCGCTAGGTCGATCGTTGATTGAGCAGTCTGTCTTGTCATATAACTACGCAATGACCGTACACAGCTGAATGAGAGGTCTCGAAATTGATGACGTCAGTAAATACTGCATGCTTTGTCGCCTTTGCCTTGTTCTTTTTCTTTTGGCAAACCGGCCTGTTTTGCAGTTAACCTTGCTGGCAGATCCCGTATTCTATCCTTCAACCAGAATAGATCGCTGAACGCCACTACCGTGAGACGCCATCGTCTCGAATCAGATGTAAACCTGGGCTTCTACAACTTTCTTTGCTGACAACAGCTTAATTTGTGCTGTCGTGGGATGGTAAATGAAGCAACTTCGGAATACGTCGAGTCGGCTAGCCAGTCGTGCTGAGTCAGAAACGAATCAAAAGCCGGTTCTCCTGCGTGTCGGTGTGCAAACACGGATTTAAGCGGGCTAGCAAGGACGGGTATAGGGCAACCTCCCTGCAGCTATATTGAAAGCCTACCTCAGGGTGTATACTCTTAGGATCACCTATGCTTAGATGAAGTTGTCGACTGGGATGTGAACTCCGTTTACCGTTTCGCAGCGACTCAGCCCAACCGGTTACTCGGCGTTAACACAGTTGGTTGGGGCCCCCGAAGGTTAGCTAAACTTGCTGAGAACGCGGTCAGATGTCAGAGCCAACGTTGATTTTGTAGTGGCAGAAGATCGAAGGGCACTTGGACCCGAAAACACACCAACTATTTATAAGGCCCAGCCAACGTCTAGCTGCGCGAGTTCCCCACTTCTCTATATCATAACGAAAGCAGTAAAAAAAACAGGCTGACAAAATACTGGCTAGGCAGAGGTGAAAAGAAATCGATTTCGAGTTCTATTCTCGCACATCTTGTCGATACGAATCACCGAGTCGATTCCAAAGAAACCTTTCAGGTTGTCTACCTGACACCAACAAGCTTCTCCAGAGGCCTACGCCAACGGGTGCTGGCTACAGCCGAGGCAGTGGCTATACGGCTAGCCACTCCAGTGCTATGCTGTCAGAAGACTCTGACACAGGCGCTCTGTCTTCCGTGGCCAACGCCAACCCCAAACTCCTGATGGCAGTGGTGTTTACACAACGTACCCGACGTACAAACATTACTCACAGCCTATGTCCCCCTCGCCCCACTGACCCAATGATCACGACACGCCGACCTCGCCATGCGAGTGGCGTGGGAACGATGGGTGTTAATAGCCCCTGAATCACTTATAAGCCCTGTAACTGTTTTGGCCTGATGGCGAGTTACCGAAAACACCTGTTTGCCAAATTGACTTTTCAAAATCCTGCTAGTTTTCCAGCGAGCCTACCATACGTGCGTCAACAAAATATCGTTGTTTGCGGGAGCATAAGGAGAGGGTGGCTTTCGTCGAACCGACTGGCTGTAAGCGGCAACCGAAGCGGACAGGCGAGCGTTTGATTTTTCTTGTTCCGGTAAGGACACAGGCTAAATATAAAGGAGGCTTGGAATCGCTGGCCTGGGAGACGAGAAAGTGCAAGCTGCCGGCGTTGGGATCAGCCTAGATTGTCGTGGCAAAGGCCTGTGCGCGGGGGGGGGGGTGGCGTCGACGTGGCCGGCATGTGCGCATGCACTGAGTCACGCGGCGGAGTGCGTGCGTGCGTGCGGGCGCGTGGATGACGCAGGCGTTAGGCGCTGACACGTCCGATTACCCGCTCCACGGCCGTGAGGTGAGAGCCCGTGCCGGGGAGACTTTGGCGTGGTTGCGGCCCCCCTGACGCGTCCACACACACACACACGTGGCCGATAGTGGAACGGCCTCCACCTACAGTAGGCAGGCTAACTCATGAAGTGTCCACTGAAATGCCGAATTGCGTTTTCGTTTCGAAAAGATTAATTAAGTAGGGTTGTAAAACTAGTCAGTCTATAATATTTCAATGGTCAATTGTACAGGCAAATAGACGGCGTAGCGATGGGCTCACCGCTCGGCCCATTCCTCGCAAATGTCTTCATGGGCAAAGTCGAGATGACAAGTTTACAAGACACCATTAATGACCTCAGCTTCTACGGTCGGTACGTAGACGATATTTTCTGCCTGACGGATGTTACCACCGACACAGACGTCCTGATTCAAAAATTCAACAATTCACACCCCTCGCTAACGTTCTCTGCAGAGTTTGAGGCAAACAATGAAATCGCGTTCCTCGACGTTCTTCTGCACAGACAAGAGGATGGGTCTATCCAACGTAGAGTATTCCGAAAGAAAACCTGGAGGGGACAATACATTAACTTTCACAGTTTTGTTCCCCTCAACATCAAACGAAATCTAGTCCAGGGATTGGCAGCTAGAGTGCGACGTATCTGCTCTCCTGAGACTGTGGAGGCAGAACTGCAGCAGCTGCGGGATACACTCCACGAAAACGGATATCCAGAAAGATTTATCCTTCGAAATATAGGGGAGCGCACTGCAAAACCTACCAAGGCAACTGCAGAAAAGAAGGACTTATTTATACGATTGCCTTTTCAAGGAGACGCAGCAAGTCAACTGGTAAAAAGACGTCTGAAGACAGCGATCACTAACGCTTTCCCCGCGGCGAACTTACGTGTGTGTTTCACTAACTCTCCCCTCCTACGCTTGGGAGGTAAAGACCAACTCCCGTTGCAGGCCACATCAATGTGTATTTATTCATTCACTTGCTCCTGTGGAGCGGGCTACATCGGCCGTACAACGAGGCGTTTGGAAAAGAGAGTACGTGAACACATACCGGCCTGGCTAGGCAAAGGTGAGAAGAAATCGATCTCGAGTTCTATTCTCGCACATCTTGTCGATACGAATCACCGAGTCGATGCCAAAGAAGCCTTTCAGATTGTCTACCGGACACCAGCAGGCTTCTCCAAAGGCCTCCGCCAACGGGTGCTAGCTACAGCTGAGGCAGTGGCTATACGGCTAGCCAATCCAGTGCTATGCTGTCAGAAGACTCTGACACAGGCGCTCTGTCTTCCGTGGCCGACGCCGACCACAACGTCGCTCCAACCTCCTGATGCCAGGGTGGGTGCACAAGGTACACGACGCACTCACAGCCTATGCCCCCCCTCCTCCTCGCCCCCCGAACCCAATTACCACGACACGCCGACCACGCCATAGCACGCCTCGTCATGCGAGTGGAGTGGGAACGATCGATGTTAATTGTCCCGAATCATTTATAAGTCATGTAACTCGCATAACTTAAACTTCATTGTAACCGTTTTGGCCTGATGAAGAGTTACTGAAAACACGTGTTCGCCAATTTGACTTTTCAATTGCACCATGGGAATATTCGCTGAACTTATAATATTTCAGTTGCCTCAGGATGCCGACTTTCGAATGAACTTCCTTCCGGCTGCATGCATAAACTATATTCTGTGGAAAATGACTACTTAAGTAGCATTTATTTTTCTCATTGATTTTCGATGCCCTTAAAGTCTTATCATATTTCCTAGAAAACAAGAAATTATTCATTCTTCCACTCTTTCGGTAGAAAACTACACCTTCTCTCAATTTTATACTCGAAGGAGTGGCATAATTCGATGCTAAAAAAGTCTCTAATCGTGAGACTTTAGTACCGTGAAATGGCCATTCATAAAACGTCATGTCTCTGCATTTACCAACGTGGTTTGTAAACTTAACGACAGGGATCCAATCAAATGCTAAATCTTATGAATCCCATATGGTCTCCTCTGAATACCGTAGAGAACTGTGTAGTTTTCCGTACGCGGAAAATACACGGCTTGTAGTTTTGAAACCGTGAATGCAAGCGTGAAGGGCAGAACGGACTCAAAATTATTCGAGAATTGGATAAGTTTTTGAGAACCGAATAATACCCTTCCTTCAAGTATCTAATTGGAAGATGGCGTAATTTTCTGCCGAATGAGCGGAAATGAATATTTTTATGTATTTTTTCTATGAAATATAATTGGACTTTTAGGGGCATCGACAATTAAAGAAAAAATGCAGGCTACTTAAGTAGTCATTTTTACAGAGTATAGTTTATGCATGCAGCTGGAAGGAAATTCTTTCGAAAGCCGGCATCCTGAGGTAACTGAATTATTATAGAATTATACTGCAGACGGGTTAGTTTTACAATCCTACTTAATTAATCTTCTCAAAACGAAGGCGCATTTCGGAATTTCGGTTGACATTTCATGAGTTAGCCCACCTACTGTAACGGTAGTCGCGTGTTACAGTCATGAAACGTTAGTCGAAATTCGGCATTGTGACATCGATTAGGAAGGATTGCCTCGGCGTAGTACTGATTACCTTGTGGCATAATCCCGTGATGTTTCAGACGAGCCAGAGTACTAATTTTTGAACGCACCTCTTTCCGGCCACCTTCAAGAACCGCACCCAATAAAAAAAACAACAGACTGTTCTAGAGTTGCGAAAATTCCTATAGCAGTAATCAGAAGTCGAGGTGGCGAGCATACGTAGCTTTCGATGAATTCTCCTCGGGCCAGTACGGGTTAGAATCAAAAACGTGTTACTGATAAGAGAAATCGATTAAGGTTTGTCTTAAAACACCGGGAGAGAGGTGGGGGTAATGGCAACTTAAGTAGTATGCCTTCTCTCTGCCGATTTTCGACATCCTTACACATCTGAAAATATTGTGCAGGAGACGCGCGCAAAAATAGTCTTTCTTGTGCTTATTTGGTGGCAAATTACGTCTCCTTCGAATTTCGTACTCAAAGAAGGGGGCAGCTTTTGGTTTTAAAAAGCCTCTAATTATGAGATTTTCCAAAACCGTACAACGTCCATTTGACCACTTGTTTAATAATGGCCGCAGCATAGTCCCCACCCGCCATGATATTTTATGAGCTCAAAAAGATATTTTCTTAACGGTATGAATGAATGTGGACTGTAAACCCTCAGCGGAAATGCAACGGCAGATCGAGTTAAACATTATTCGGGGGTTGATAAACTTTGTTAAAACGGAATTTGCTACCAAATGAGTAAAAGAAAGCATATTTTTTCTGCATTTTTTCATTAAATATGCTTGAATTAATAAATCCGTCGAAAATCAACGTGAAAGTACATACCGCTTAAGTAGTTATTCTCTAAGGAGTACAGTTTTTACAGGAGGTCGGAAAGAAGTGTATTAAAAAGCCAACAGTCTAGCGTGTCCGAAATATCATAGGATCATGTGGCATGGCAGTCAATATTACAACCCCACCTAGGTAATCCTTCCTAATCGAAGACTCATGTCAGATTTTCGGTTAACATTTCACGAGATCGGTCATTCACTGCAGATGGGCTTTTGCGTCTGAAAACTGTAGGTGAGCTTTTGCGCCAGTAGCAGAACTTCATGGCGTGGCCGCGTACCAACCTAGCACTTTGGTTATCCATAAAAGGAATCGCAAGTCATTAGAGACTTCAGTCCATGTTTCCCAGCTCTCAGGGCATACCTTATCAGCCCAAGCAACCGACCTACCGTGCGTGACCAATCTCATGAAGTGTTGGCTAAAATTCAGAAATGCGTTTTCGATCGAGAAGGATTACTTAGGCGCAGTTGTAATACTGATTATCTTGTGGCATAATCCTATGATAGTTCGGACTCGGCAAGATGTCAGCTTTCGAATGCACTGCTTTTCAATCTCCTGTAGGAACCGTACTCGGCCAAAAATGACTACTTAAGTGACATGCATTTTCCCCATTGCTTTTCAATAGTCTTGCAAATTCAGATATATTTCATAGAAACCACGAACAAAAATATGCTTTCTTTCAGTCAATTGATAGGATCACGTCATTGTTGTATTTTATACTCGAAGAAGGAGTATAAATAGGTTTCAAAAAAGTTCCTAATTATGAAATTTTTTAAGACTGTGTAATGTCCATTCATATAGCATCGTACCTGTCCTTTTCCCACTGCTCTTCATGAAATGTACATGGTCCGCATCCACTGCAAAATCTTATGGACTCTATATGGTATCTTGTTAAGCGCATAGAAGAATACGTGATTTTCTTTGTGTGGAACGCATGCACCCGGCAGACTGGAATCACTAAGACTGACCAGGCTCCAAATTATTCGGGAATTGGAAAACTTTGTAAAACCTAATTATACTCCTTCCTTGAGTATAAAATATAAAGAAGACGTGATTCTCTATCAGATGACTGTAAGAAAGCATATTTTTGTTCGTGGTTTCGATGAAATATATCTGAATTTTAAAGACCATCGGAAATCAACGGAAAAAAATGCATTCTACTTAAGTGGTCAGCGCATTTCAGTCTGCGAGGGTCATGGTTTGCTGATACTGCCATAGGAAACGTTTTCAGATCTGTTGAATAGAAGGGCGACACGTGTCCCTTCAATTGGCCTAGACGGTCACTTATACTGTGAGTGACCGATCTCATGAAATGTTGGCAGAAATTCCGAAATGTGTTTCGATTGGGAAGGTTTACTCCGGTTGGGTTGAAACATTCATTCTCATTGGATATAGTCCTAATATATTTTAGACTGGGCAAAATTTCAGCTTTTGAATGCTCCACATTTTACTCTTCTGTGGAAACTGTAGTCGGTAAAAAACGACTACTTAAGTAGCAGGCACTTTTAACAATGATTTTCGATGGTCTTGGAAATTCGAACATATTTTATAGAAACCCCGAATAAAACTATGCTTTCCTTCAGTCGTTAGATAGAGAATTATATCGTCTTCATATTTTATACTCGAAAAAGGAGTATCATTAGGTTTTAAAAAAGTTTTTTTAATTCCTGAATACTTTGGAGCCTGATCAGCCGTTGCATTAGCGTTTAGTAATTTCAGCGTACAAGGTGCATGTGTTTCCCCCTAAATAAAATCACATACTCTTCTATGCCTTTAAAAGGATACTATAAAGGTTCCATAATATTTTGCAATGGATGCGGACCATGTTCTACATTTCATGAGGAGAAGTGGTAAAGAGACAGGTACGATGTTGTATGAATGGACATTGCACGGTCTTGAAAAATCTCATAATTAGAAACTTTTTCAAAACCTAATTATACCCCTCCTTCAAGCATAAAGTATGAAGATGACGTGATTCTCTATCAAAGGACTCAAAGAATGCGTTTTTTTGTTCGTGGTTTCTATAAAATATATCTGAATTTGCAAGACTATCGAAAATCAATGGGAAAAATGTATGCTACTTAAGTAGTCATTTCTTATCAAACACGGTTTCTACGGCAGATTTAAAAGCAGTGCATTAAAGAGCTGACATCCTGCCCAGTCCGAAATATTAAAGGATTATGCCGCAATATACTCAGCATTATAACTGCGCCTAAGTAATCCTTCTTGATCGAAAACGCATTTCAGAATTTCAGCCAACATTTCATGAGATCGGTCGCTCACTGTACATATGTGCGATGGCAGTGTCCTGTTTATGAATGATTGAAAACAGTACCTTACCGGTCCGTCTTCTACAAAAAGGGCAAACATAGGAATTTCGCTAGTTTAAAGAAATACAACAATGTCCGATGGTTTCTCCACAACAAGCAATACACTTGAAGAAGAAGAAGACACGATCGCCGGGACAAGAGCTTTATTAGCCTGACGTTTCGGATTCCTGCTCGAATCCATCATCAGAGACATAAGCAGATAAGGGTGGTTCATGCACATGTGGCTGCAGTATTTATAGGATGCCGTAGCCATGCCACCGCATACGGATCTGGTGCAGTTGCGGACAAAGCAACTACGTCGGAGAAACCGGAAGACAGCTCCGAACGCGAATGGCCGAACACGCTGCAGCAGTGCGGAGAAATGACGCCAGCTCTCAAGTTGCGGCTCATTCGACGGGTTCCGGCCACACATTCAAATTTGACGAGGCCGAAATTCTCGCAAAAGGTGACAACCTCGTGAGCCGGGAGCTGCTTGAGTCATGGTTCACTGGCCCCCAGTCTATTAACAAGTGCAATGATCTTCCCATTCAATACAGCGTGCTGAGACTTCGTCTAGGCGGAGAAATTGGCCACGCGGGGAGCGCCCTGATGAACACTCTTCCCAACACCCGGGTCAGCGCGTCAGATGGTCGAGCAATCATCACACCAACATCCAACGCACGTGATGAAATCGCAGCAATTAACGACGCGAATATCGACCATCACGCCACGTGCAACGATCCCTAATGAAGGGGAGGGAGCCGTGAACATTCATAGGTATGCGGTGGCATGGCTACGGCATCCTATAAATACTGCAGCCACATGTGCATGAACCACCCTTATCTGCTTATGTCTCTGATGATGGATTCGAGCAGGAATCCGAAACGTCAGGCTAATAAAGCTCTTGTCCCGGCGATCGTGTCTTCTTCTTCTTCAAGGCTGCTTCCTGGGACTCGTCTTTTCGCTTCTATTGGCAAGCAATACACTTCTCGACTGTTCCAGAGGAGGGTTGGAGCGACTTGTGACGCATCTACCTCATACGCACTAGCAAAACAAAACCGAGAAGGCCAGGGGTGGGCGTGGGCACTATGCGAGCGTCAGATACGATCTCGTCCAAGCCTCGAAGGAAGGAAAGAAGGGGGTGTGGCACCTCGCACAAATGAGTTCCGTAAGGACTATATTAGGAAGCAGGTTTTGCTGACCCCGTCAGGTGGTAAACCCAAGAACCACGACTATTAATGACAAAAATAAGCGCCGAATCGGCCGATCTCCCCACCGTCTCCAGTGGCCTCTCCGAACCAAGTCTGCAGGGTGCTTCAAGCGCGCATACGCCTTCCGCCTTTGGCGCTCTAGAAGTCATGTGATCACAGTTCTCGAGCTGTCGGACACGACTGCAGTCTCTGGGACAGCCAATCACAGGCGGCCAAAAACTCGGCTACCACCCAATCAGCTGACACTGACTGACTCGCACGTGACGTTTATTCACTGACGCCTGCATCACCCTAGCGGACAGAGGCGCTAAGCCGGTCGCCAACAAGCAAAATACACGACGTCTACTGGTGACCTTCCCCTTATCCTCCAATAATTGGATTGAACCGTGATTATTATGGCGCTCCTGAGTACATCCTCTGCTTTAGACGCAACAAGCCCAGCCGGGATTGGGTGCAGTGAACTGGTGTGGCTTGAGGCCACCGTCTAACGGGCTCGTATCAAAAAGGAGCTACGGCAATTTGACCCGTCAGTTGACCGCCCTTCAGGCCACGACGGCGGATAGCGCGTGTTGCGACAGGTTTAGGGAGCGTCAGATTTGTTAGCAGTGAGGAATGCCCCGGCGCCTGTCTGCCGGTGGATGATGGAACTGAACGCGCCGGCAGACATGAGCCTCCAGCCTCAGCGCACAGCTCGGCTGACGCGTGCATGGGCCATTTTGGCCACGTTTTGGTCTGACGGAACAGCTGCGAGGTAGGTTGCTAAAGCTGAGTGTTGTCAGTAGACGGCTCCTGGAACTGCGACGGTGACCCCCCCCCTCCCAGAAGACTGACCTGCCTGGCTGCGTGCAATCGGGCGCCCTCACAGGTCGCGGACAGTAAAACGGCCTTCAGCGAGGCTCGATTTCAAAACCGACCACTGGAGCTAAGACGGTGATACCCGTAGGTTTGGCTGGAGGCCGGTCTGGCAAGTCGTCCGTAAAAAGGTCACGGGCCACGCCGTCAGTACGGCATGGCGAATGCTGCCCGTGTTCCAGTTAGGAGTCCCCCCCGGTCCCGCGGCAGACTCTTTGAATATCGACCCACTGTGTGCCGAAGAAGTCTGCCTTCAAGTCTGTCAAATAATCTCACTGCGTTCGGCGAGCCACGGCTTAACGAGTTTCTGGATGGTCTGAGGGTTATAATCTGTGCGCAGTGGTTGGACCCCACGAAGGCCTGTTGCGTCGATAGGATCATTTACTGCCCGCAATAACAGGCTATGACGACGGTATGGTGATGAAGCTGGCCAAGAACGCCGGTCGGAGTCACACAATCTTGTAGGCGCTCTCGATAATGACCTCAAATTAGTGATCACCTGCTTCCAGCAGCGGAGAGCAATCACGTCGGGCCTGGTGTGGCACACATAGACGGGTTCTTTAGCCCTGGAAGTCGCTGCTCACAATAACTGGTGACGGCGTTGAGTTTGAAACCGGACATCGATTAACAGTTCGGCTGACGCGTGCATGGACCACTTTGGCCACGTTTTGGTCTGACGGAACAGCTGCGAGGTAGGTTGCTAAAGCTGAGTGCTGTCAGTAGACGGCTCCTGGAACTGCGACAGTGATCCCCCCTCACTGCGTGGCTGCGTGGAATGGGGCGCCGCCACAGGTCGCGGACAGTAAAACGGCCTTCAGCGGGGCTCGACTTCAAAACCGACCACTAAAGTTAAGACGGTGATACCCGTAGGTTTGGCTGGAGACCGGTCTGACAAGTCGGTCGCCCGCAAAAAGGTCACAGACCACACCGTCAGTACGGCATGGCGAATGTTGCCCGCATTCCAGTTAGGAGTCCGGAATGGGGAAGCGGGCGGCGACCTTAACCTTAAGCCTTACCGAAATCGTAAACGTAACCGTAGCCCTTATACATAGACCTAACTATAAAACCTAACCGTAACACTGAAACCTAGTCGTAAACTCAAACCCTAACCGTAACCCGAAAACCTAAGCCTTAGTGGCATAACCCTAACCCGAAAATCGGACACCCTTAACCGGTACCCCAATCCTAACCTCAAACGTAAAACGGAAGCCAAATGGGTCAGATGTGATTATGTAGCCCCACAAAAAATCCCCAGTAAACAAACTCCCGCCACCTGTAATACGGGGCCTGACTACCAACTGCGATCTAGTCAGGAGTCCTCTCCCCCCCCCCCGGTCCCACGGCAGACTTCTTGAATATCGACCCACTGTGTGCCGGAGAAGTCTACCTTCAAGTCTGTCAAATAATCTCACTACCCATCCGCCCTGCACAACCGCCGTTCGGAGAGGGACGGCTTAACGGAGTTTCTGGACGGCCTGGGGGTTATAATCTGTGCGTAATGGTTGGGCCTCAAGAAGGTCTGTGGCGTCGATCGGATCCTTTACCGCCCAACAACCAACTGCCCAACCACGACGGTACAGTGATGAAGCTGGCCAAGAGTGTCGGCCGGAGTCACACAACCTTGTAGACGCTCTCTATAATGACCTCAAATTGGTGATTACCTGCCTCCAGCAGGGAGGGGAGGCAACCACAGTCGGCCAAACTCCTACGTCGGGCCGCGTGTGGCACACATAGACGGGGTGTTTAGCCCTGGAAGTCGCTGCTCACAATAACCTTACCGGCTGGAATGGCCAATTCTGGCCTGTTTGCCATCATCAGCCAGCCATAACAAAGTATGCAGTCCCCGAGGCTCAAAATCACGACCTGTTGGTAAGAAGTCCAACGCCCTAACCACTGAGCCACGAACTCGTTGCCCTGCCTGTATTACGCGCCGATGTACGGCTGCTGGTGGGATTCCGGAGAGACACAGCGGAAGGAGTTAGTTCCTTGACGCAATCGATGCGTCCCCCCTCCCCTCCCCTACCAGTGCTCACCATCCCGTCACTATTTGATCGAGAGACTTGGACTGATACATGAGAGGAAAACAAGAGAGAGAGAGTGAGGCTGAGGCCGGAGAAGAAGTCAGCGCATTCTTCGCTAATAATAAATCTGCAGCGCTTGAATCGTGTCCTGGAAGGCTGTCAATTGACGCGATGGCTGCTTCTCAATGCGGCCCCTAAGACGTTCCCACCCATATGATATCCCATCCGCCTAGACAGAAGCCTACTACATGCTGTGGGGGGCGAGGCCGTGCGTGGCACGCGTAGAGGGACCGCTTAACTACCAGCCCGCGCCACCCCCCGTACTTGTACTTGATACGGCTGCGATCATGCCTGATCTAGCCGGCCTCGATGACGTCCCGAACTGTACCTCTCCACGCATGACGATCCGCGGCAGCAGATCTGGACAGCTCAACCCATTCCCTTCGCCAACGACGTAGACCGAATACCGAAGGTCCAAGAACCACCTCCATCTCTTGACGAACTGTGCCGATCCAGGTTTTGAACTGATCCCCTCTTCGACGCCTCCAATGGAGAAACGGTGCCGGATCGAGGGCAGTAACACTGAGCTCCTGAGGTGGACGATGAAGAGCATGCCCAAACCACCTCAGTCGTCTTTCGTGGATGGCCTGGGTTATCCTTGCAATGTTGTCGCAGCGAGCGCGGACTGTCTCATTTGAGACGATGTCGGTGAACTTCACTCGAAGGATGGTCCTCAAACAGTGGTGGTCAAATACCTCCAGTTTTTGTTCGTCCTCCACGCGCACAGCCTAGCATTCACAACCGTGTGAAGGACAGACCGGACAGATGCACGGTACACACGAATCTTAGTGGCGATGGAGAGGTCACGTCGGATCCATAGGCATTTCCGAAGCTTTGGGAAAACCCAGCGGGCAGCATCAATTCGGGAGACAATGTCGTCCCTACTTTGTCCATTAGGCAGCAGCCTCGCCCCGAGGTATTTAAAACTGTCTACTTGTTCAAGTTGACAGCCATCAATCCCCAGGGGTACCCTCTCCACGTCAGGGATGCAGCTTGAAAACAATTTGGTCTTCCCAGCGTTTATGGATAAACCAACCGATTTAGCGACCTCGTTCACCCGTGACACCATAGACTGCAGATCGCCAAAACTTAAAGCAAGTAAGGCGATATCATCGGCATAGTCGAGATCAGTCAGTCGGTGTCCGGGTGCAAACTCAACGCCGTCACCCTCGCGTAGGGCCCTCCCGAGGATCCAGTCAATAGCATAGTTGAACAGAATGGGTGACAGGATACAACCCTGTCGGACACCAGACCGAAAGCCGAACGGTTGGGTAAGATCGTTGCGGACCAGGACTCTCGCAATAGTGGAGCGATAATAAGCCTTGATCATGGCGATTATTTTTGCCGGTACACCATCTAGCGCCATTATCCGTCACAGGGACTCACGATGAACGGAATCGAACGCGGCGGCAAAGTTAACGAAGCAGACGGCCGTCGGTTGCTGGTAGCTATGGCGAAATGCGAGAATGCGCCTCAGGGTGAATACCTGGTCTGCGCATCCACGTCCAGCACGAAATCCGGCTTGGTTGGGCCCCGTCCTTGAGTCACACACAGCCTGGAATCGCCTTAGAAGGACAATAGCGAAGATCTTCGCAGCAACGTCGTTTTGCCACTAGTGCAAGATAGGAGAGAGAGAGAGAGAGAGAGAGAGAGAGAGCGAGAGAGAGAAAGAGAGAGAGAGAGGGGGGGGAGAGGTAGATGATGCGCAAATCTGCCCCACCACAAACTAATTCACACGCACGTTGCCGGCGAGCGTGGAAGTCGTCGCTTATGACGATCGAGCTTTTAGGGTGAGAGGAGAGAAGTAAACAGTTGAAGAGGCAGGATCAGGGTGGACGTACCGGAACAATAAACGGCGTCGAGATCAAGACCCCTGCCAAAGTAGCGGGGCACGCTGAGGTGTTCACCCCTTTCCTCGTCGTACACCTGCAGGGAAAAGTTCACAAAAAAGATGCCAGAGTAAGGACAGGGTTCACGAACCCCCCGTTGACAGGAGTAGACAGAATCGGCATTAAACTCAAAGCTGCGGAGGTTAAGTTAGCCCTCAGCTTAATACCACTTCCTCGGATGACTGCCATCCAAACTACCTAAATGAACCCTTTTTTAACTGACCATGTAGCTCAGTTCGTAGAGCATCTGGTTGTACTGATGCCTCGCCGTCTCTGTCACCGATATGGATTCCACCGATGTCAGCCGACGGGCGGGCACCAGCAAGAGGACTGTCAAACAGCCGCCTCTGTCTTCAAATCAAGCCGATCGGTAGCAGGGCGTCATTTCACACAAGGAAAAAACCTCCAGCATCCATGGTCTGTACATACCTTCATTCCGGTGAGCAGGAAGCCGACGGTGGCGCGGTGTGCATACTTGGCATTTTCGGAGCGTATCTTTGCCGCATCCACGTCGGGTGGGCAGGCAGCGGTGCCCATCTTGAGGTCGCAGACGCTGGGATTCTGCAGGGATGCCAGAACGTCCTCCAGGGCCAGATAGATGACTAGACAGACGAGGGGGAGGAGTTGAGCGATCAGAGGGCCAAACCGTAAATAAGCAAGAAAGTCTTTCTACAAAAGAGGGACTGGTATAGCGGTTTCTGGTTTATTCGCAGTCATCAGACAGCCAACCCGGTCAACTCCCGGCTGAGAAGGCCTGGGACTTGAGCCGAGGTCAGTCCAGAGCTGCACCACTGAGCCATAAACACATACCCCCATCTGTGCGAAATCCTGACACTTGTGCTCGGGAGGGGGGCAGGTCGTATATGTGGCACACGCAGATGAGGTCACTAACACCACTGACCGGGTCGGACAGGGACTGGGGCCTGGGAATGCGAATAGGGAGCAAGATCGAGGCCTTAGCGCATTTTCCTCACTATATGCAACCTGACAGGCTTAAATCTATCACGGTGTGCCGAGGGCCGGGGCTTGGGAGGTTGTGAACTGGCCGGATAACGTGGACCTCGCAGTCGGCCCAGTGTGAAGAGCGGCCGACCGATGGTCTACGAGTCAGGCTGCAATGGCTCCTTCTTAATGCGACCTCTATGGCACTTCCACTCCGTGGGATCCGAGCTGGCACGCTTAGGCACAGCTTCAGCCACCTGTGCCCTCTCGACTTCGTCTTGACGCGGGACCTAGGTGGGGGGGTAGGGTGCAGTAGATGTATCGCAAGTCCACTATTATAACAAAACTAAATCCCGCGCAAGTTACGGTCCCTTCGGCACCGTGCTATAGTGCACACGGTGGACTACGTCAGCAAAAACGGTCGAAATGTCGTTGCGATCTTACTACTTGAACTTGGTACATGGCTGCCCAGTCATCCACATCTTTCCTGGTGTTGTTGTTGGTCAAAATCCCGGTCAAGTGTTTGTTGTGGACCAGGGGGGGAGGGTGGAACGCCAAGCTGCGGGTCCACCATCTACCCGCGCCCTCCCTGCCTCCGGTGTTCTTGACTCTGTCATCATCATCATCATCATCATCATCATCATCATCATCATCATCATCATCATCATCATCACCAGCACCATCATCATCGTCGTCGTCATCATCATCAGCATCGCTTGGTAACGCTGTGATCATGTCTGACTTAGTCGACCTCGATGGTGTCGTGAGTGGTCTGCAACAGCCTCACCCATTCCCTCCTCCAGCGACGGAGGCCCAATACAAAAGGCTCAAGCACAACTTCGACGTCTTGGTGACACCTCCAGGTGGGCAACGATGTCGGATCGAAGGCAACAACGCTTAGATCATGAGGCGGACGGCGACGAACGTGTCCAAAGCCGTCTTTCATCGATGGCCCAAGATGTCTCCGCGATGTCGCAGCCAGTGCGGACTGTCTACCTCGAAACCAAGTCAGTTTATTTCACCCTCGAAGGATGGTTTCCAGGCAACGGTTGACAAGCACCTCCAGCATTCATGGCCGTAGAGGACTGACTGGACGGGTGCCCCGTACACGAGGACCTTTGTGACGATGGTGATATCGCGTCGATCATAGATGCCGTCTGAAGATTGTGAAAAGCCTGCGACTATGGAAAAAATGCTGTCTTTGCGCTGTCCCATTCGGAAGCAGCACTGTTCCGAAGTATTCCGACTGACAGTTGTTAATCCCGAAGGGTATCGTGTTCAGGCGAGGTATGCAGCTCGAAAACAGTTTGATCTCCCCAGCGTTTATGGATAAAGAGCATGGAATTCCCAATTTTCAGCCGCGATCAGGACTACTCAACCTCACTCAGATGCGAAATCGAGGTGTTCCCGGCCCCCCAGGGTGTGCCAGTTACGTACGGTAAATATGCTACGAACTGCTACTTCAGTCCGTCTAAAGAATATTTTAAAGAAATCTGACAGGCACAGAAAGTCCACACTTGTGACATCACACGCCTCTGCCATGGTCCTCTTGCAAACCATGCACCTGTACGTGGCGGTTGAAGTGCAGATTAAGCCCACGTAGACATACGTGCACATACAGACCAACAGAATGACCTTGAACTTGGTGAAGAAGGGGGGGGGAAGGTGGAGAGGGAGGAGTCGATCGGTACAACATGAGGGTGCACTTGTTGCTGAACTCGATCCCCTACTGAGGACGGAGAAAATGTGGAATCATATGTCAGGGCTTTAAGGACGCTAGGAAATTTTCCACTTCTACAAGCGAACGCGAAACCATCAGAAAAGTTGTCACACTCACCCTGCCTGGCCTCGAAGCAGGAAAAACGGACTTCTGATGGATACACAAGTGTGGATTCCACAAATGTTGTAGGACAATTGAAATCATCCTCACAGTTCAATAAACTGCAAGCAAAGTGCTACAGGGCTGACCGCTTCGGCACGTACGTTGATCTGACAAAGGTCTCCAAATGGATTCTGGGTGTCCAGAAAAGTGCTTGCATGCAGGCCCACGTTCTCAACAGCGGATCGACCTCGGATTCTTTCGCTGTGGCGAGCGGGGTGGGGTTAAGTAAGGGACCATTTGTAACACTCTTCAGCCTAATACTCTCTGCTATGGCAATAGACGCTTGCCGGGAACTTTTAGACGCGTACCGAAGTCGTCAAGGACGACTGACTGGGCACGCATTGCCACTGTAGAGTAATCGGACATGCAGAACTCCGAGCTGACCACCAACATTGGCAAAACAGTGGGCACGTTTAGCAAATAAGTGTACGCAGAGCGTTGCAATCATCAGGAAAAATTCCGAGTTGTAAGAAAAAAACAGAAGTTGCGAGAATGAGAGCTATACTGTGTATGGGGATGCCCTCTCGGGTGGCAGCGGCCGCCGCGAAGCCAGGACTAGTGTTGGCTTGAGACTGTGGTGGCAGCTGCTTTTGCAGGTTTATGGGGCAAGTTGAAGAGGTGTCCAACTGGTGCTGTTCACGTAACTCTTGGTGTGTTTCCAGGGCGTGGTATGATCAGGTGGCGCATGGGCAGCTGCGAGTCTGTGGACGTGTGTGCGTCCGAGTTGAAGTCGGTCGAGTGACTGCGCCTGGAACTGCTCGCCTGATGCCCCCTGGACGCAACGAACAAGGATGCCAGACATGGCAACACATGAACTGATCGACACACACAGGACCCATGGTCGTTGCCAATCGGATGAAGTCTCCTGCTTAATTTCAGGAAACATCAAAATTCGACAACAGTTCAACCGCCACGAACGACAACTTTACCAGCAGCAGCAGCAGCAGCAGCAGCAGTAGCAGCAGCAGCAACAACAACAACAACAACAACAACAACAACAACAACAACAACATTCACACGAAGTCCAGCAACATTGCTCACAACGCTCCAACCCCGGGGGTGAGCTACGCGACCGCGACTCGACGTACTACATCTAACGACGCAGGGGGCATGCTAGTTTGCTTATCCTTGTGGCGTTCGGAACCCTGGGTCAACACACACTACTCACTCCTATTGTTTACTCCCAACGGCGATATCAACGACAACGGTCAAGCTGTAAGACGCCTACTAGCAGCTACAACTAAGGCTCGTGAAGTAAATCACAAACACACGCAGTGACAAAGGTCATTTTCGACCCCAATGACTATTTAAGTAGCATTCATTGTTCCTATTAATTTTCGATAATCATATAAATTCAAATATATTTTATAGAAAACGTGCACAAACATGTGCTTTCTTTTGCTCATTTGGTAGGAAATCACATTGTCTTTATATTTATGTCCGAAGAAAGTATATATTTAGGTTTTAAAAAAGTTTCCAAATTCCCGAATAATCTTCAGCCTGATCTGCCATTGCATCAGCGTTTAGCAATTTCAGTCGACAAGGTGCATGCTTTCCGCGTAAGGAAAATCATACACTCCTCTACGCCTTTAAGAAGATATCACATAGAATTCATGAAATTTACGATGGATCCGGACTGTGTTGTACATTTCATGAGAAGCATTAGTAAACGGACATGTGCGGTCTTCTATGCATGGGCATCGCGCGGTCTTAAAAATCTCATCATTAAAAACTTTTTTAAAACCTAAATAAGCACTTTCTTCGGGCATAAAATATAAATACAATGTGAGTTCCTACCAAATGAGCAAAAGAAAGCACATTTTTGTGCATGTTTTCCACAAAATATATTTGAATTTATGACTATCGCAAATCAATAGGAAAACTGCATACTACTTAAGTAGTCACTTTCTGCCGAGTGTGGCTTCTGCAGGGGCCAAAAAGAAGTGCACTCAAAAGCCGACATCCTGGCGAGTCCGAAATTTTATAGGGTTATGCTGCATGATAATCGGCATAATAACCCTACTTAAGTAATCCTTCCTCATCGGAAACGCATTCCAGAATTTTGTCCAACATTTCATAAGATCGGTCACGCACTATACATCTAACGACGAAGGGGCCATGCTGGTTTGCCTATCCTTATGGCGTTCGGAGTCCTAGGCCAGCACGCACTACTCCCAACAGCGATAGCAACGACAACGGTCAAGTTGTAATACGCCTACTAGTAGCTACAACTAAGGATCGTGAAGTAAATCACAAACACACGCAGTGACAAGGGTCATCTTCGACTCCCAAGGGCTACCGCTGTTGGCGCCCTCAATTTATCAATTGGTCTGCCTAATATTCCTGATTCGCAGCCAGTAAACAGTGTTTTTCGACTTGACAGCGCAGCAACATGTGGAAAGGGAGTATTGTGTTTACAGCGTCAAAAATAATGTGCGCCGAAAAGAAAACTTTGATCCTCAAAGTCCCTTTTCAAGGGGACGCTGCGAGTGAACTCCTAAGGAGGCGCTATGATCAAGCTGTCTCGCGAACCTTCCCAGTCGCAAGGGCTTAAATATCCTTCTCTACTAACCCTATTTTACGCGGAGAAGGTAAGGATAAGTTGCCACCGCAGACCACCTCAATGTGCATATATTCCTTCACTTGCTCCTGTGGAGCAGGTTATAGTGGTCGCACGAGTCGGCGCTTATCCAAGAGAATTCGGGAACACCTCCCGCCATGGTTGGGAAAAGGCGAAACGAGGAGCATAAGCAGTGCCAATCTCGCGCATGTTGTCGATTCCGGACATCGTGTGGACCCCAACGAAGCCTTTCGCGTGATTTATAAGGTCTCATCGAGCTACCCTAAGCTACTAGGTCAGCGCCTGTCAGCGACAGCAGAAGCGGCCGCCACTAGGCTACGAAAGCCAATCTTATGCACACAGAAGAACCACGTTCAGGCTCCGCGCCTACAGTGGTCGAAGGACGATTAACGCTGCAACTCTCCACGCCCTTCCGCTCTCACCCCGCCCCTGACAGTGACTGCTATAACACCCCTCCCCTCCCTCTCATTCCCACACTCCGCCTGTGTTTTAAGGAGGACCTTTATCGATTTATCTCATCGCTGACATGTTTTACTTCTACCCCGTTCCCATATAACTGTACTGGCCCGATGAGAATTTATCGAAAGCTACGTATGCTCGTCACCTCATCTTTTGGCTACAGCTATGGGAATTTTCGCAACTCTAAAAATAATGAAACCGCGAAACAAACATCCGAGGGAAGGTGAAAAGAGACCATAGGAAGACCTGCAGTTTACCACTTCTGGCGTCTCCAGCGGTGTGCCCGATAAAATGGGATTAGGACGAAAAAAGTGACGCATTTAAACATCGCCTGACGGAATGTACTAAAACAACCCTGGAGGTATTGCCAGCAAGGCGAGAGAAGGAGAGAGAGAGACTGTGATTGCCGTTTCTGACTTGTCAGTCATCGTCAGTCAGCCAACCCCGCGGTCACAGGCCAACGCTCCACCAGCTGAGTCACACGGGATCCTCCCGTGTTTCCTTCAGCAAGTAGGGCAGATTTATTGACGTCAGCTATACATGTAACTGATTCACAAGCTCTTTTGTACGGAGAAGAAAGTAGAGCGCCTAACCACTCAGACTGCAACAATAGACGCGGCGAGTAAGCATCGACCGAAATAGACGCAATTCTGGCCAGCCGCTGCCAGGTTTGCAGCTTGTAGACACTGATCACAGTGGCTGGTTAAGTGAATCTCACTCGCAATTTGCAAGAAGGGCCCTTCGTTTTGGCCCAGACGTTCGCTAGACTTGGCAGGGTCGCCGACAAGCCTGCAACGGCAAGGTTGCGACGGCAGAGGCAAAAAATGCCTCCCCAAAGTAAGTGAACAAAGCTGATCTCCCCGAACTGGTGTGCTCATTCTTCTGAAGCATTGGAGGCAGGATGACACCGCGCTCCTCGGTACTACTAAAGTGTCCTCTTCTTCGCACTGCCTATAAAGGTTGTTGCTGCTGCAAGGGGCATGCGCATCAGGTTTATCATTCATTTCGAAAGCAACTCCTTCTCAACCTCCTCTCCTAGAGAACTAACTGGCTTTATTTTATCCGCGGCATTTATGTATGCCTCTCAAGTTGCGATTTTTTTTCTGACAGATCGCAACGCTCTGAAAAGGCCAATCAGTGTTGTCTAAGCCATGGTGGGATTAATATCCGTCCGCTTTACTCGAGTGGTGACAGACTGATGGAAAACACAGCTGGAGCTTCGGCTATTATAGTAGGGTTTGATTTCGCCTGTGAACCATGAGCGCCGTACATGAGCTCCCGTGTGTTGATCGGGGGTACGATTGGCCAAAGGTGACATCAATAAGTCTGAAGCGGCGGTTGCCAGCATCTCCTCCGTTTTTTAGGTTTACCGCTAAAATAAATATTCGGAGGCGAGGGGATCGCATCGCGACCGAGCCCAATGAAATTAAACCTTCAATAAATGGGCTACTTAATACACACGAGTAGGCATGTTATCCGTAAATGTTTGTTTGGCACAGGCGATAAGAAAAGACCTTCGAGGCCGGAAAAGCTGTCGGCGGATGGGGTCGAATTGCAGACCTACCGAAATTAATAACGAATGCACCACAACTGAAATACAGTCGAGGTGCCTGCCCTTGTGGTTAGGCAACGCAAAGTTCGGGAGGTTGGCAGTTGGACGTCTCCCGGAGATAATTATTCCGGCTATACAAGTTTTCCTATTTCATATAGTGCGTATTGAAAAATTAACTGTCACTTATGTTAGAACTAAGGTCAAAAGCTACTTTCATGGGGTTTGCCAATCAAATTTGACTCAAAATAGATACACACCTCCAGCGCTTGACCGATACAAACCGTGAAAGGCTGGGAGGAACGGTCGTAGATTAACTAGCGAAGGAGGGGCGTCCGGCGCGAAAGCGCGAAGATAGAAGTCGACCTCTTTCAGTCCCCTCGATCCCTTCTGTAGGGGCTTGAATATAGTATTGGTCGCAGGGTGTAGCAATACTACAAACGAGAATGGGATGGAGCTGAGGTTAAGAAAGCGAAGGACAAGCTTCAGTCAAATTGGGAGTAGCGCAGCGGAAGTGAATTCCGTTGGAAACGGATGCAAGAAAAGAGGTTGGCATGCATATGCGAAAAGCGATTGTGCAAATCAGAGGAACTACAGCACCGAAATCAACGCTCTCACGTCACCACAGTAAAGCACGCGTTTCTAAATTAAAGCTTGTAGGCGAGTAAAGGGGGCTGCCGAGCCATTTGAGACCGCGACGATATACCCTCTCAGGTACGATTTAACACGCAGATTGATGCCCTGAACAGAATAAATACCTTCTGCGAAGGCCATCTGCATCCTCCTGCTAAATCGGATATGGACGTACACGTTACAGAACAATGATTGGTCGAAAGAAATGGTCGGTTAGCAAATCCGAGATTGTCGCTATTTATTCACAGTCGATAAATTGTCTACTTCTGGACGACAATGTAAGTAAATAACTTGAGAATTGCAGACATCTCTGTTATTGTGAGGGGGTGGAGCATGGTTTTGATTTATTGCAGAAAATCATGGCATATTAGCTTACGTACAGCGCAAAGAAACATACGCTGATAGTCCTTAGAATCGCTCGAATGTCCGGTACCATGACCTCCAATCTGATGCCCATAAGGTACCAGACACGTCGGAGTCAGTGGTAGACTGTCGTAGTCAATCTTCGGACTGTCCTCTTCTACCATTTCGCTCGCGAGATCTGAAAGTAAACAGAGATATTGTTGCATAAAATGAGGGTTAGCATTAACCAGCAGATAGGTAAGCTAAACTTCCCTTATCGTAGATTATAATGCAAGCAGTGTGTTGATGTATATGAATACAGTCACCGTGTAAAACGCAGTCATCGGTCCTTAACAGTGGTCTTACGGAGACAGTCTTTAGTAGGGCTTACTGTTCTGGCTGGAAAAGTGCCAAGGAAGTAGATAGCGGATGAACTGGGGGTCCTATCGGGCAATCTCGTGTGTCTCAGTCGAATTAAAACTTAAGAGATCAGTATGATCTAAAATGCGGTAAAAATTTTAATCGCACGACTTTCCCACACTTACTTCAACAAAACAGGTCAGATTTTTGCAATGGAAACACATAGCATGGTCAAGACAGACAGCCAGAAAAATAAATGTAGGTTGAGGAGCTACACTGCCAGATGCAAGATACAATTCTTCCGCTTAATAGACATTTCAGTCGCAAACACGACTACTGTTAAGAGGATAGGAGTGAAATTATAAAAGGACGTAGTAATGGTATTTTTCAACCAGGTTTCGGGGGACACGGTTTTCTAAATAATATTATGACCGCTTCTATAGAGATAGATCCGAGTGCTAAAATAAAAGCTCGCTAAGTCGAATGCTGATCGGAAAGGTTAGCGACTAGGAGAATCGGATACGGAGAGGAACGTACGTCACACACCATTCATGAAGATTCAATATTAATAATACGAATATGGACCAGATGTACAATTGGATGACATCTTGAACACAGCGAGGCTTAGACGAGTAAGGGAAAAAAATAACTTGCAGTAGGAAAGGTTCGATTGCGGTCAGGTGATGGAAACGCGACCTACTAGACGTGGCGTTCGTAACACTGCTCTCTTTGCGTAATGTGTTAGAAGCTGGGGATTTCTTCGGGAGTCCCTTTTTGCAATCCAACTCCCTGCCAGCAGCGTTTCCCCGTCATCCTCATTATTTCTTCTCATCGTCCTACCGTGTCTGGCTCAAACACTACTTTCACCTTCTATTTCACTATCAAAGCTAGTCAATGTGTTTGTACGCAGACGCCCCCGACACCCTTTTACCAGGGTCCATGTAGGCCGTCACCAGATTGTAACGCACAACCCAAACAAGGGTTTTATTTCGATTGTTGAGAACGACACTTCGAGCAAGGACGAGGTCGGTGTGACCTTTTGCGCTGTTGACGGTCGGCTTCCTTGACTCCCCTTTGCAGAGGCGGGCATCTATCTCCCTTAAGGGAGATACATCTATAGATATCTAGGTATCTGCCTACCTATTCACCTATATAGGTGAATAGGTAGGCAGATATAGCGCGATCTTCTCCTATGGCTGCCGCCGGCGCTACACTCCCTGCCAGTCATCTTGCTGGTTAATTGGAACATTTTTCTAAATACCGGCCAGCCTGTAGTGCGGCGTCTTTACGTATTCCTATAGGAATATATTGTAAACTGTTATTTACTGATAACACTAATTGAATGCCGTTAATGTAACGTTCATACACATTTGATTCTTATTCTACCATATTTGGATGTACGTGATTTGTGGCATATACGGGCTCACTCAACATATTCAGAGCCGCTCACGCACCCAAACCGCTCACCCTTCTCGCACCGGCCGCTAAACCCTTGTGACGACCTACGGGGGACTGAGTATTAGTACGTCAGTGATCGGCATGCAGACGCCACACATCAAACATTAGAAGAATATAGTCTGAATGGGATACTATTATAATAACGGGTTAGATAATAAAGGGGTACGGAAACGGGGGNGAGGGATACATTGGGATCGGACGCTTGCATTTGAGCCCATTGCTCCTGGGCTGCCTGTGATATTTGGATAGCTGCCACAGGAAAGGCGTCGTTCGGTGTCCTCGTCGGGGGGAGTGGTGGACGGGAGAGAGTGTCGGCGTTACTGTGACGTTTCCCAGGGCGATATTGAACTTCAAAGTCAAATTCTTCAAGTAGCTCCCGCCATCTGGCGACTTGTCCTTCTGCATCCTTAAAATTCCGGAGCCATTTGAGGGCTTGGTGGTCGGTGCGGACGATGAAGTGTTTAGCGAGCAGCAAGTGTCGGAAATTTTGACAAAGGTGACGAGGGATAGCATTTCCCGCCGTGTGGTACTGTAGTGCCGTTGCACCTTGTCCAAACATTGACTGGCGTACGCTATTACGTGCTCATGTCCATCCGCAGCGATCTGGCTGAGCACTGCGCCAATAGCAAATCCGCTGGCGTCAGTATCGAGGATGAAGGGTGGGCTTTGCACGTCACCATCTGGGAGCGCAAGGATGGGGGCGGAAGTTAGGGCGTTTTTGAGGGTTAAAAAGGCTTGTGTACATTCTGCCGTCCACACAAAAGAACGACCCTTTTCCGTTAAGCGATGTAGCGGAAGGGCGATATTCGCGAAACCGTAAATGAAACGACGGTAGTAGGAAGCCAATCCCAAGAACGACCGTACATCCGTTTGTGATTGTGGTGTCGGCCAGTCGAGTACCTGCCGAATTTTCTCCGGATTAGGGGTGATGCCAGTTTCGTCTACTACGTGTCCAAGGTAGCTCACTTGTCGTTGTAGGAAATGGCACTTCTTGGGGTTGATCGTAAGTCCTGCTGTCTGTAACTCTTGGAGTACTAGGCTCAAGTTTTGGAGGAGGTGGCTGACGGACTTGCCGTGGATAATAATGTCATCCAAATAGACGAGACAGGACTGTGGTAATAGGTTCCTCAGGACGAGCTGCATCAACCTTTGACACGTGGCTGTGGCATTCGCAAGACCCATGGGCAGAGTGTTAAATTGGTAGAGCCCGGTGGGGAGGATGAACGCCGTCTTGTGACGGTGCTCCGGTCGGACCTCTATCTGCCAGTAACTATGAGAGAGGTCGAGGCTGGCGAACCAAGACGCACCGACTAATGCGTCGATAGTGTCATCAATACGCGGGATCGGAAACGAGTCGCGCACGGTGACTTTGTTCAACTGGCGATAGTCGAGGCATAGCCGTAGGTGTCCGTCCTTTTTCTTAACAAGCGTAACCGGGGCAGCCCATGGGGAGTTGGAGGGTTCAATTATACCCTGCGCAAGGAGGTCTGAAATTATGCTGTTAAGCTCCGTTTGGTAATGGATGGGAATTCGGCGAGCGGGTTGTCGTTGTGGTGCGGCGGTACCAGTGTTTATGGCATGCTGAACCAGTCCAGTGCGCCCGATCGGTTGTCCAGCCCAGGTGAACACGCTCTGGAATGGGAGAAGGGTATCCTTTAGGCGACGGAGGTAGGTGACGGGGATTTCTTGACGGGTCAACAGATCGTCAATGGACGTCGGTTCGTTTGGTGGGGTAGTGTCTAGCGTACTGACATCCACGGAGATGTTGGAGATGGCTGATCTGGAAAGCAGAACTGCGGCCGGGTTGTTGGGGTCGATGATAAGCTGGTGGGCGCGGAGAAAGTCTAACCCGACAATGGCGTCAACTCTAATGTCCGGGGAGACTAGCATGGGATGTACGGCAGTGCAGATGGGGAGGACAATGGATACTTGCCGTGTGCCAGTGCAACGCAGGGGTGAACCATCAGCTGTGACTAACTGAATGTCTGAAGGAGGGGAGTGTGTAATGGGAATATGGGGAGACCGCAACACAGACCGGATGGCGCCAGTGTCAATAAGTATGGTGGCGGGGGTTCCATCAAGTGTGCCAGTGACTGTCAGCGGGAGATCTGTGGGTAGCGAGGAAGAAAGAGAGGGCAAGATAGTGGGAGGGGTCTTACCGGCAGGGTTGTTGTGACCGCACTTGCGAGCACGATCCTTGAATTGCTGGCAGTACCAGCAGTCGTTCGTGTTGTTGGTCGCACGAGGGAAAGACGGTCTTCGATCGGATAGTCTGAGTTGCCCCTGGGGACTGCTAGGAGCACGGCGAGGTTCTTGTTGTGGTGGGGCGGACTCGAATATCCTTGTCGTTTGTAGGGCTGTGAGAAGGTTTGCAGGGGGTCGGATGCGAAACTCCCGTTTGATGTCTTCTGAACGGAGACCGCCCACGAATCGTAAGAAGACCTGGTCAGAGACTTGGGAGTCTGGGAAGACCCTGCTACCGAGACTGAAGAGGGCGTCTAGGTAGCAGTCCGCATTTTCACCGGGCAGTTGTGTGCGGAGGCAGAATTGGTTGTGGAGGGCGATAAGGGGTTCCTGGGCACCGAAAAGGCTTTCCAGCGATGCCCATAGGTTGCTGATGGTTGTAGGGGGTGAGACGCACAGATAATTTAGGCGTCTTTTGGCGGTTGGACCTAATAGACCCGTAATATGGGCCATTCGTTGGTCGGCCGGTAAATGCACCAGGTAGCGTTCGGCCTGAACTCGCCAGTCCGAGAAGCTGTCGCCGACCTCGTATATTGGGGGTTTAGGGGAATCCAGGGCCACTGGAGATGTGCGTGTGAGAAGGTTGCCTAAGGCGGCGGTTAGCTGGTCGATGCTAGAGGAGTGGGCATCGGAGGTGGATCGGGTATTCGGCATGGTGGGGGATGCGGTCTAGTAGGTACGGACGTATAGAAAAGTGCGGATGAAATGTAGTACCGAACGGGAATAATGAAGTCCGAAAAAAAAAGTGGGAGAAAAATCAAGAAACGCTGCCACCAAATATGTGACGACCTACGGGGGACTGAGTATTAGTACGTCAGTGATCGGCATGCAGACGCCACACATCAAACATTAGAAGAATATAGTCTGAATGGGATACTATTATAATAACGGGTTAGATAATAAAGGGGTACGGAAACGGGGGGAGAAAACGGATAAGAGTAGTTTAAATCCTAACAATGAGATTACGAAAGGGGGGAACGCAGCCGGCTGCATAAACGAGGGGAGACATTAGACAAATTGGTCATTAGCGGGACCCTGGTGGTTGTTCTGGTTGTTTGTGGGCGTTGAACGTGGCCCTGAAAAAGGAAATAAAAGAATTGAGTAGCAAAAAGGTACCGTTGACTGGGTAGGTTCGTGACACCCTAATAGTTCCCTTTGCCCGTCTCAATTTCAGCCCAACAAAACTACAATGTTGCTCAAGTCAACTAAGGATATTCAATTACAGGTAAAAGCGCTGGTTTTACCCCGAAATCAGTGGCCCCTAAATATATTTTAGTTTTTTAGAAATCTACTATAGGCAATCCAGGGTTTGGCATAGGCCTAGAAAGGCCAGGGTAGCTAGTTGACCAACAACTCGTGTAACGACCTACAAGGGTTGGGATAAACAAGCATCACGAAGTTCAACGGACACGCTTCACACCAACTAGTGGAACAATAGTAAAATGACGCGGTGGAATACTATCTGACAGTTCAACAAATGAATAATCGAAAAGGAACCACGATCTCAACTAATCTAGAGTTTATTGAAGACAACAAATGGAAGGCAGTCGGTTACGAAAGGGAAGAATGGCTAGTTAAAATAATCGCTAAGAGGGTTCTGCTGACCTGCATAAGAGTTTGCAGGCCTAGAGATGAACTCCGGAAAGATAAAATAGAGCTACTGTAAACTTTTGCCTACATATGGGGAGTGGTGTCATTACACGGCCCCCATCAAGAGGTTAAACGCCATCCTCGGCGCGGGATGAGCAGAGAGCGGAGTTGCAGAGCGGGGGCGAGTGTGATGGGTGGGGGGGGCGGGGGGGAGAGGCAATTGACCGAATGAGGAGATGAAGACATGGTACGCTAGACAAACGGAGATTAGCACGCACATAATTTGAGACGATCGATGTAGACTTGATATATTCAGTCAAAAGGCCCGTATTCCAGGCGGATGTGGCAGACGGAGTAGGAGATCGTCGAACGATTCTATGTGGCAAAGACCACAGACGATGAAACTTGATCGCAGAGCCTACGGGGAATGACCGTTGTGCAAACGAACACGATCACCTTATTCGTATTACGTTCCATGTGGCAGGTGGACGTAATAGTTACTCTAATGTTGCCGCGCAGCTTGAAACTTCATCCTGGTCGTGGCGTAGATGGTTTGAATGGAGCCTATGAGGCGGCCGAGGCATCAGTGTGGTTGTTCCGTTGGGGGTGGAGGATGTTCACATAATTAATCCAGACGTGAGATGCAGGTCGCGCCAAAAGAGTATCGTATGGGAAGTGAATGAGATGGAGTAAATGGAGGCGCGGTAGGCCAAGAGATATCGAGCGAAGGCAGGTCATCCTACGAGTTTACACGGGACTTATCGACTATGATTCGGAAGAATGACATCAGAATAATGTTCGTGTTTTCCGCCTATCCGTTTCTTGCTAGAGGGAAAATGGTAGGAAAGGTTTTAACTATCCCCGGAAGGTTACAGAGACCCCGAAATGATTGACTTTCGAGAGCAATCCCCTGATCTGTGTAGATAATGTTGGGATTCCATGGCGAGCAATCCAGTGGTCGTCGAGTGCCGCTGTTATTATAAGACTTCCTTGGTTTTGGAATGGTACGCCTTCGCACCACGTTGTGTAATGGTAAACGATGGCCAAAATGAAATCGTTGTCATGCTTTGTCTAGAACAAACGCCCAGTGACATCTACGTCAATGCGGTGGTTGGGGAATCCTACCGATTCCGATTATAGAGGCGCAGTAGGCTGGACTACGGGATATTTCAGTTTATTCAGTTTTTTGGTAAGGATAATAGGCAAAGCCTTTGAAAACCTTATTGATTACATGTCAACTTGTTAGAAATAACTGTACACGAACAAAAAATATATGATTTGGTCACATGTTTGGCACCCCTGACAAAGTAAGAATACGTCGTGCCCATGATCAGGCACCCAAAATATCGCTGGCTGACTGCGGCTAGAAGTCGGACCTGTCCACAATGTGCCAGTCCTCAGTGAATGTCGCGTATGACTCGAGATCTAAGAACTTGGGGAACACCAGGGCATTTAGTGTTGGAAAAAGAGGATGTCGTCGACTAGAGGAGGATATGGCCACATGAACCTGAGGCATTGGGCCTCCGAGTTAGGATTCTTCAGTTCGTGGACGAAGGCGTCATTTCAGTTCAGTTCAGTGTACTTGAGCGGAAGATTTTTGAGCTTTTGAACTCCTTCTTGTCCCATAAATATCGAAAGAAAGGACAATACTATACATAACTTACAATGTCAGGTGGAAGTTGACTTAGTTTCGCATAAGGGCGTTTGTTTGAGGGTGACATAGTAACGTAGTGGCTGATAGCTGCAGCATGTGTTTGTCAAGACGATGTTTGAACACCACTACAGATTTACACATAACAACCGTATCGGGAAGTTATTCCATGGTTCATATACACGGTTTGTGAAAAAATACTTTTTCACTTCTAGTCTTCCTTGACGCGCAAGCAGCATGAAGCGATACCTCTGGAGTTTGATTTTAGTGATGAGTTTGGAGATGTCTCCGCACTGGACGGCACAAATCAAACTATGCACAATGAGGAAAGTCTATATCAAATTCCCGTGCAATTGTCTTTGACTCAAAGAACCAATACTTAGGTTATTTAGGCCATTTAGTACGACAATGCTCCCTGACTTCTTAAACATTTTATGGCTAGTATCTGCACTCTTTTGAGCAGGCCACAATCCTGCGTTTCTGCTTTTTGGGTTTAGAAAACCGTTTGACTGTCAGTCGTATATGAGGGAGACAACTAGACCAAACGCCCGCATTCGTACCCGTTATTCTTGGGTGGCGTGTAATATGTGGATGGTCGGAAAAGGAAGGGTGGTGTGTGGTATCCTTGTCGGAATAGGTGATGAATGGGAAAAGGCTTCAGTGCTGCGGTTATGTTTTCGGGACCGAGACGCATTTTTAAGTCTAATTCTTCAAATGCTTTTCGCCATCTGGCAGTTTGTCCCTCGGCGTCCTTAAAATTTCGTAGTCACTTGGTTGTGTGGTGGTCGGTGAGGACGGCGAAGTGTCTTGCAAGTAGAAGGTGTCGAAATTTCTTGCAAACGCGACAACAACGATCATCTCCCGTCGCGTGGCACTGTAAATTCGTTACACCTTGCCCAGGCATCGGCTAGTGTAAACAATTACGTAGTTCTTCAGGCCTGTACAATTATATTTGCATTTATATGCGTCCGTATCGATCCGGCTAAGAACAACTCCCATAATAAATTCGCTAGCGTCGGTATACGAGATGAATCGTGGACTTTAAACACTGCTGTTGGAGAACACGAAGTTAGACGTCAATGTTAAGATTTCTATGATGGTTGAGAAGAGTGTGAGATATATTTTATCCGCGCAACGAATGCCCTTCTATTTAAACGATGGAGTGGAAGGACGATATTAAATAAACCGTAAACAAAACGATGGTGATAGGAGCCAACCCCAAGAAGGACTGCACATCCGTTTGTGATTGTAAAGTTCGCCGTTTAAGTATCTGGCAAATATTTTCAGGGTCAAGAACGATGTCAGTCCTGGGTACTGACTTCGAGATATTTTACCTAATGTTTGAGCAAATGACATCTTTTCGGGCCGATCGTAAACCTGCCGCCTGTTAATTCTGGAGCTGTTGACTCCAATTGCCGAGCATACGTTTGACAAACTTGCTGCGAATAACAATTCCTTCCAGACACACGGGACTGGGCCGGGATAATCGGTCTAGGGGCGAGCTCCACCAACCTTTGCCAAATGGCAGTGACATTCACGAGGACACTGGACGGAGTATTGAACGAGTAGAGAGCAGTGTGGAGGATAAATGTTGTCTTTCAGCTATAATCTGGTAGGATCTCTACTCGTCAGTAAGCGAGAGAGAATTCGAAGCTGTCGAACCGAGAAGAGCCGGCTAAGGCATCGATGATGTCAATGATATGCGGAATAAAGAAATCTTTGAATACAGTGACCTTATGCAGCGGCCGGTAATCGATACAAGGTCTCAGGTTGTCGCCCTTTTCTTCAGAAGAGTGACCGAACGGCCTTTAGCATATTGGCATTGGAGCCTCAGGAGATAGTCTATTCGGTGCTCTGATGGTAAGTGCATCGGACAGTGCTTGGCCTGAAACCACCAGTTACGGAAACTTCTGCCGACTACATATAATGCGAGTCCGAGAGACTTTGGCGTAGCTGGAGATTATTGGGTGAGAGGCCTCCCTTAGGCGGCAGTGAGCCGGTCGATACTAGATGGACGACTGCTTAGGGTGGACTGGGTACACCGCATCACTGATAATAGTATTAACCAAGGCGGGGTCTGGGATTAGCAGAAGCAAGTGAAGTGGGCGGGGGTGGAAACAAAATAAAAGAACAGCGATGAGTGATAGGAGAAAACATTAAATAAAATGAAACACTGTAACCAAATATGAAACGACCAACAGGGATTGGAACAAGTAAGCGTCACAAGGTTCACCACATGCATCAAACATCACGTCATGGAACAATAACACTTTCGAAAAGTGCAATAGTATAATCAAAAATGAAATAATGCGTGGGAGTCAAATAATACAATAACCGGACAAGAACGTCTATGTCAATCGGTCGCGAGGTTAGTCAGGACGGTAAAGAGAACGCGGGCGACAGCAAAAGGGGCGAACAACTAAATGATCTAAGGGACCCAACAGCGCTCAAGAGGTCCTATAATAAACCTTTTTCACTGTAGCATGAATGAAACTATTGTTTCGGGGGTTTTGTTGATTTGCAGAAGAGTTTGCGGGCCTAGAGGTGGACCTTGGAAAGAGGAACTAAGGTTATTGGGAGTTTTTGCCTACATGAAACGAGTTGCGTTGGTACACCGGCGGCAGATAAAACAGCCACAACCTCCATAAAAATGTCTAAGCCATCTTTCCGGTCCGAATTATTAGGGGAACATCTGACTGAAATGTGGAACGTTCTCCCTGGAATATTTATGGAGAAGCATTTTAAATATTCCCCTCACCTTCTCTAAGTGTACTGAACAGATGCTAAGGAAGAGTTCATATCCCTTCTTCATTAAATTTCCACCCAACTTCAGTAACACTTAGCCAACGCTAATTATATGGCTACAAAAATGATTCACCAACGTCCCATTTGTAATTGTCATAGAAAGCCTGCCAGAATCCGATATGGCCCTCGTGTTGATCCAGCGCATCTATCGCATGGCCCGTTTGGGGGGAAAATGCTCACCTTCACCACCACAACCACCACCAACACCACAAACATCACTGTCATAAAGTCCCTAACGACGACGATGACTACCACCCCCCCCCCATTCCCACCACTAGTGAGAAAAATACCGGTGTCCCGTTATCCAGCCACCCACACCTCCACTAACAGTAATGCGGATTTTACCCAAGTATGTTCTCATTCCGATCGCACTTTCACATCACACTTTGGCCTGACTGACCACTTGCGAATCCGTCTTTATGAGATCGGCGAACCTGTGCCTGAAACCCCCACATACACCCGGCCCAAGCGCATTACATGCAGGCAATGTCCCATGACGTTCCGTCACCACATGGGCCCACGCAGTTACATGCATCTTCGTCATAATCTGCGGCAAACCACCGCAGGCCAAATCCAGTCACTGCGCATTTCCCCACAAACACACGAACCCGTCCCACATTACCCATAAAAAGCACAGGCTGGGCACTTCTCACGTAATTGTTGAACGTAGTCTTCGGCTCCTTTTTGTGGCCTCTGTTTTATTATTAAGCACGTGAGCTCTGAACAGCCCGCCCGTAATGTGTGGAAATCAGATGTGTAATGGGGAGACCAGGCCGTGCATGTGGGATGCTCAGACTGGCTGTCTACTATATTGTCAGTCCCAATTCCCGCAAAAGATGACTGATCGGCTCGGACACTGAACTGGTGCGTGGGTGGGGAAAAAGGGTGACGTCGACCGTCTTCGCGCATACTCCTCATCCTTAAACAACCTGATATACTTTCAAACTATGGCAGTGTGCTAAAAGACGTGGCTATAGAAGGCTGGCAACTGACGGGGTAACTTGGTCCTACACTCAGGAAAGGGAGCCAGGCTGCCATGAAACCTTCTCGATGTGGCCTTTATAGCGCTCCCATGTAGATGGTATCCAATCGGCTCTTGGGATTCGGTGAAGACCTGGTCCATTGTAGACGGACTGCTTACAAAGTTTTGCCGCGACTGCGCCTGATCTCGCCTCCAGTCTTTCTGACTCTGTCTCGAAACCAGGCACAGGAGATTGAGAGAGGTGACAGCTCGACAGGTGCTGTGCTAGTCTGCTATCATTACAAACTAATACACGCGTAAATCACCGTCTCGCACCCACTCTTCTGCGGGGCACACGCTGGCCACCACCGTCCACGACAATCGAAATTACACTTGTGACGTTATCACAGGACTCTTATAAGAATAATAAGTGCATTTAATGCCAGTTTATAAGCATCGTCAAGGAAAGATAAAGCGCGGATGGGGCTAACAGTGAAAAAAAACTTCTGCGAATTAAATACAGAGGATGGTGTTTTTGCATAGCTTTGATGGTTCAGGAGGAAAAAAACTGCTGCCCGTGAAATGACAGCAGTCAAGAAAGCGGTGAGTAACGATGCTTCGGATATGTTCAGTCGCCATTCCTTTTCATGAAATTGCGACTTGGCCTAACAGAAGCGTTGAAGAACTGTTGCTCGCTGTCGCCTGAAGAAATTGCCCCAAGTTCTGCGGGTTGTAGGGTCAGCAACATTTCTCACGTGGCGAAGCCGGCCAGGGGAATCAGGTACCACGAACTCCCTCACTACGGTAAATAAAATCAGCATCCAAAATATGTGGGAGTTTTTTTGAATGCAAGAAACGAGTAGTGGTTATCTTAAACAAAGAGTAATTTGGCAGAATTTTTTTATTCCTGGATAATTTGTTCCAAATTTCAGTTATTTTCACAGAAAAGAACCGATGATATTTAACGATACGTGCCAGAGGGAGAAATAAAAATACCTCACGGTGACTGTTACATCGGGGGTGGATAGGATGTTTTAAACTTGTGGGCGGGTTAAAGGTGTGATTATGCAAAAGCTTAAATAGTAAAAATAATCCCTTTTATAATCTACGAAATAACAGTGGATCAAGGTCCGCAAGCCGGCAACGTCCTTGGTACGACAAATGCCGGTGTTCCGGGGGTAAAACTCTCTTGGTAAAAAAATGCTGGACAGATTCTATTTTCTTGCGCTCAGATGCATGCATGAGGCCAAATAAAGACGAACTGTATTCCAGGCCAGGTCTGACGTACATGTTATAAAGGCGCATTCTAATATCGTTGGTTCTAAAGTTTCGGAGGTAAACCCGGTCGTTCTGCGTGCTTTGGAGACTATCAGGACCCAGTGCTCCGAAAGATTTAGAATTTCGAAGTATGATACATCCAGAACATTACTAACCCCAGGCACATTTATGTCGTGACCATCAATACTTAGTTGAGGTTGGTGGTCTTCGCCAACCACCATGACTGTGCATTTATGCCAAGAAAGAGAAAGGCACCATGTGCAGCACCATTGGGCAAAGGCCTGTTGGTTGGTCTTTAGGAGATCGAGCACGATTTCACGATCTGCTGGCTTATATCGATCCGTAACTTTCAGATCATCGGCACACATGAAGGGCTTACCATTCTGAACTAAATCTGATACATTGTTGACGAAAAGACAGAATAATAGCTGACCAAGTACGCCACTCTGAATGACTCCACTCCACTTCTAAAATGGCAGATTCTGTTCCAACTAGGAAACTGGGCATTTATTTCAAATAGAAAACGAGACACAAGAGAAGAAGCAGGAATGCAGCCGATCGTTGAACTAAACATTCTTCATCAACAAAAAACTTTAGGTTTGGTAGTAGTAAAAGTATATTCATCCCCAGTGTTACAAAACTGTTCAATGCCTACCCGTCTCATATACTACACTCTAAGCATAAATTTCTTCTCTATAATTCGTTTGAGTTAATACCAACATGTGATAATAGATCAAATACAGAGTATTCGCATAAAGTTTGTGCTAATTACCGTGTGCAGACAGATTCTGACAACAAGGAAAAGAATTAGTTCGACTCGTGTCTCCTTCCTGATGACTCGAGGAGCCCTGATATTAGGAGATACCTTGCGAAAAAGTATACTCCGCAATCATCAGGTGGAGGCGCATACATAGGATGCTTCAAAATGCTTAAAAACTGTAAATAATTATAATGCCCGGGTTTATTAAAATACCTTACGTACCCAAAATAAGGTCGAATCTACAGACATCATTTAATTTTTTCATCAGCGCCTACTTTTCAACTGCTGTCCATTCTGATTCAGGCACTGTCAACGACGTGATGAAATGGAATCGCAAGCATCCAGCAACGTTTAGTTTGCAATTCTCATACATTCCTCTTCAGTGGCTACTTTTAATTCAGCTTATGTCACCGTTTCTGCAGCGTAGACTTTACATTTTAGGGGGAGGAGTGTGCGATCCGATGAGGCAAGATTGTATTCTATGAAACCCCGCCTGTTTAGCGAAATCTCATCAATGCTGATCTTACATCACGATGCTGAAAATAAACTTCTCATCGTCAGAGCTCCGTCTGCCGTCATAATTAATTTGAACAGGTTAAATCTGAAATAAAAAAAAAACATCAACTCATCTATTAGCTGTCAAACTATAGACACACTTTTCAATCACCGTGTACATTTATAATCTTAAATAAAGAACTACTACATTTGTTTAAGTAGACCATATTTAATGATACGTGTGAAGTAGTCATCATCTCACACTGGGAACGTGTCTGAAGCAGGTGCTCGTCTCTTCCAACCACTGAGTATCACTGTCGCTTACAGATACCAGACAACAATAAGACCTCTGGTCATGAGACCTACGGTCCCTCTATTAAGAGGCGGAACTACCGACCGCTTCTTTGGTGTTCGCTAAAGCCCCTGTGAAGCGAGCTGAAGTCAGTCACCAATCTCATGAAATGTTAACTGAAATTCTGAAATGTATTTTCGATTAGGAGCGACTACTTAGATCGGGTTATAGTATTGATTGACGCGCATTATAATCCCAAAATATTTCAGTCACACCGGGATGCCAGCTTTCGAATGCATTTCTCTTCGGCCGCCTGCAAAAGCCGCACTAGGTAGAAAACAAATATTTAAGTGGTACGCATTTTCCCCGTTGATTGTTGATGCCCCTATAAATTCAAATATACTTTATAGAAAATATATGTAAAGTATGGCTTTTGTGTTCATGTGGTGATAAATCACATCTCCAAATTTTAAATTTGGACAGGTGTATCATCCGCTTTCAAAAAAGGTTTGCAATGTTGGCATTTTTAGGAGCGTTAAATGTCCATTCAGAATGCATCCTGCCCCTCCGTTTATTAATGTTTCTTATTAAGTATACAACATAGTTCACATTCATTGCACATGTTTAAAAAGGCACCGAAGATCAATGGGCAAATTCATGCTAATCAGGTAGTCATCTTTTTACCGAGTGCGGCTTTTACAGGCGGCCGAAGGGAAGTGCATTCAAATGCCGGCATTCTGGCGCGACTGAAAAATCTCCTGTCAAACTACGTGCCACTGGGGGCAAGATTTGGTGCAAGGAAGTTCTTCATCAGCCACAGGATGACTAAGACATGCAATGCTCTGCCCGTGGACGTCGTCATGTCCTCATCCGTGAACTCATTTAAGAGGAATCTTGACCAGTACAGGGATATGTACCACCACGTCATCAGAAACTAACAATTTCTCCGTTGTGCCATCCTCCTGAAATTTTAAGCTATAAAACATGCTACTCCCTAGGTTTAAGTAAGATCGTTTTATAACGTGCCGTTAAATATCTTCATTGGATGCCTACATGCGAACCAGTGAATCCTGATTGAAGCGTAGGCGTTGGTTCGGCAGTCGTTGCCGGCAATGTTCACTCTGTGCTCCATAGCGGTACGGGGACTTGCGCAAAATCTACCGCACTCCCTCCTCCTCTCCCATCTGGACCCAGTAACATGGTGTAGTCAAGACGACCGGAAGTAGGAGAGGATGCGGGTTGCTGGCACGTAGGAAATCCGCACTTAAGCGTACCATAAGGCTCCCTGGTCTACAGCAAACACTTGGCCAGAACTGTAACGCAACAGCAAGAGGATAGGAGCGGCGGCCAGCCTACGTCTCACTACACCTCGTCATACAGCGCTGCATTAAAATCAACATTACAGCCCCATTTAAGTAACCCTTCCTAGTCGAGAACGCAGCTCGGAACTTCGGTTGACATTTCATGGGATTAGTCACTGACTCCGGAGAACCACGAAGGTAAAATGGCACGAAAGGGTGCCCGACAAGGAGATCCAGCATCCTCAGCAGTGTGTGGCACGCGTAGACCGGTCGCTGCGTCCAGTCTCAACCAGAGGGGTCCGAAACGCCCCTGAGGCAGTCCGGCCCACCGACTGGAAAGCAGATCGTGTGGGGCACTCGTAGACGGGTTATTTAGCTGCATACGCCACGACGCCCACATCTGTAGCGGGCAGCCATAATGACCGGTCATTGTTCAAGATCACGCTGCCTCAGGGTCATTCACCCCTTTGCAGTGAGCCGTTCCGCACGTGCTGACCAGAAGTCACATGACCGACAGCTCAGGCATACCTGCCTCCGCACAGCCGCAGCTGCCAATGCGGCCGCTTGAACGCACCCCACCCCCCGTAATCAGCAAAGCGAGCCACTGGGACACCACCCCTCGGCAGATGCAACACACACCGATTGGAGACCACTTGAGATTGGCCCACGAGCCTACAAAAGCGGCCGCCACCACTGTCACAAGGACTCTCAGGCATGACTGGACGCAATCAACACCAGCCCTGTCTTCGCCAGTGGCCACTGTCGCCCGAGAGGACAAATCCGTGTTCTGTGCACAATAAGCCCCTCATTCTGGTGCCTCCGTCTTCTCCCTACAACACTAGGATTTGTCCTGATTATTGTAGTGCTCAGAATGCACACACTCACGCCGCCTGGTCACGACACATCCACCTCGGGAGGATGAAGTGCAGTAGATGCTACGCAAGCATGCACCAACACAAACTAATTCACGCACAAGTCGTCGGTGACGCGTCCACTCCGTGGGACACACTATGAACCTCGTTGACTGCGACGGTTCAATAGTCGTGCATACTAAGTAATGCGAGCGCTGTCTTCATTTTGTTTTCCGAGACATCCACGAGTTTTATAAACAGAACTGCCCTCAAGATAGCATGTGTGGAGTATCCTAAACCTAACCAGACAACGTGGGACTCGTAGAAAAACGTCAAACCTGCCGATTGTTGGAGCGCTGAGATAATTATCATCAAAGGTGCCACTGTGAGCTTTGTTCACAGCCCGGCTTTCTGAAGAGTCATATATTTTGCTTGTCTAATTAGGCAGCCACTAAGTGGGCGGGCCAATAATCTGGCAGCGTGTAATTTCTTCCCCTCCCCCAACCTTCCCTGTTCTCAAGGTCATTTGAGGGGATGGAACGCTTGGTGGAATTAAATTACCTTCGAAAGATATCACTCGCCTATTAAGTGTGCTTTGTTTGACCTGTTCTTCATGTATCATCATTTCGGGGTGATTTTGTCATTCGCCCACTATGGTTATAGACTACAAAGAAACCGGGACAGGAGTTGTCATCATTGAGTTTATTTAATCATGCTAATTAATGACTCCGTCCAATGGCCACGCCTGTGCGTTTTTAAAGGAAACAAAGCCGGACTAGTCAGCCTACGACGTAGAAAAAGACCGACATTTAGCATAACGAGAAGGCGAGATGCTCAGACCGATTAGAAGCCAGATGTGGTGTCTACTTGCAGACAGTTCAACTTAAATAATGCCGGGAATTTGTCTGTCAGCTCGAGGTGGTACACACATCAATGGAAATCGAAGAATACATTTCTGGGCAATCGGGTATGAAAATTCAGACTAGGCGCTAAATTCCAGGGTGTGCTGATTCCCACATCCTAACTTTACTTCGAAACTCAACCCTCCTAGTTCCGTTGGCCTAAATCCGACTAAAAAAATAGTTTGTAAGAAAACTGCAATCTTGTAGTCGAAATCTGAAGTTTCGACGTAAATTTTAGGGGCAGCGTTGAGGGTTTAAATGTCCAGTCAAACAGCTCATCACACAAACTGAACCACACCATCTAGCTGACGCCGCTTAGGCGAATTCGCATTTCATTGACCACATTAAATTTGCCCCTTCTAAGAACGGTTTGGCAGCTTCAACCCTGACCATTTTTCACAGACTTAACCCAAAGGACTGTCTTCGGTCATTTGATGGCACCCTTAACCACTTCATTGTCACTTTGCAATTGTGAATGTACAAGCGGACCTACTTTTGCCAGTTTTTCTGAACCTTCCTCTTTCCTTTAGGCCTTTTGCTCAATTAGAACCCAAATCGTTAGTAATTTATAACGAAAATATGCTGCGTGATTGGTTATCTGTAATTATGCCCACGTGGACCGCTATCTACTTAAGACGGGGAGTCATTCCGTGTGATGATCGGCCCAGTGCCCACTTGGCACCAGGCCAGTCAGTCAGCTGCAAGCAGGTATGCGTCTGCCAATCAATTTATCGATTTTCCGATGCCATTACTGACATGAGCTCCTG